GCGTTGTTATTTGGTTGCGCTTGAATGAAATATATATTAAAGAATTTTACATATAAAAAATATTTAACTACATAGCTGTTTGTAAAAGTGGAACTGAAAAACTGTTTCCAAACACTAGGGATAATTCAGCAGTATCCGTGTCATTCCAAGTATCAAAGAGTGTTCGAAACAAATCTCTGAAATTTGTATGCGCAAAGCATCAGAGGTCCCATTTGTTTATTGTTCGTTTATTTATTTATTTATTCATTTATTTACCATGTTTCAGACACGTCTATCACAAATCGTGCATAGACCCTTGGTTACTGGAGCACCGCACGTGTCCAATGTGTAAAGCAGACATCTTGAAGTATTTTGGATACCAGGTAGGATTTCATTCAAGTGCATTTAGTCACAGTGTTCTCATTTTGTTGAAATCCAACTACTAATTACAATAATTACCTGATTACTGTAGATTAAGCAGAGAGAGATTATTTCCTTTTTTGTAAAGCTGAAAAAGTAACAAAGAACTACTAATTCTATGTTATCATTATTGGCATAACCTTCGATTATCCTTTTCTCTACCGTCCCATTAGGACACGCTCTGCGCCTGTCAGCAGATCAAAAACTTTTGACTGATTGAACCCTGCGCAGTTGATTGGTTGGTTCGAGGCTCTTCTACAAATTGTGGGGCAATACAGCTCTGGTCGATTATTGGATATAAGTGGTAGTTAGAAGTGTTCGCCGAAATAATTTTGCATGCAATCCTTTTTCTCTCAAAAATGACCTAAAGGATGTCTAGGGGTTTTTCCTGCTATATTTTGAATCCTCATGATTCAATGAGTAAAAATACTAAAAGGCATAACTTGCCAATATTTGAGGAGACTGTTCAAGTCAGAAAAAATAATGCGCGAAAAATTGTTTCGGCGACCACTTTCGACCGTACTGTATGTGAAGAACTAGTGGACCACTTAGGCTTTTAGAACGGAAAGCAGTAAGCAATTGGAGTAGGCAGTCTGCCTTGGAACCCTATTTGCTTTCATGAGCTCGCTGCATCCTGTTTTCATGATTTTGGGCTATGGCCTGGAAAGGTGAAAGGTCTAGGCTCCGGAATACCACCTAGCACCATCCGATACATCAAAAGACTGGTATAGCTAGAGGAATTAAGGTTCTCCTTTATATGTATAGTTAAAAATAACGTATTCCTGAAGTTGTTTAGGAAATTTCCCAAAAATAAAGGCAAGTTTACCCATCAAGCACTAATATAAGTCATTACTGATTTTATTAAAAAAATTTTCTTCATCTATTATTTATTTCAGTGTTAACATGAATTTCATGTTGCCCCTTGCTATCATTCTCCATTGATTTTTTCAGGTTTCCACTTCCGGCGGCGGCGATCCCTCACGTATGGAGGCGGACCGGGATAGAGAAGAATCACCTGAACCGCCGAGTTCCACGGAAAGTAACGGAGCTTATCAATTTCCTCAGAATCACGATCTCCAAGACACTTTCCACTTCACTCCTAATACTTCACCTCACTGGTAAGCAAGCTATTTACTGTAAAAATTAAGTGGCGCAGCCGGGCCGAGAGTGAACCGGGGCAAAAAGAGCCATTTCGCCAGGTTGCTATTCTTTCACAAAGAAACAAATTACTCAAGTACATGAAATCGGAAATTGAAACCCCAGCGCCATGTGCGTGGGCTATAGTGCGGTCGATAGGATGTGGGATAATGGAGTTAGGATACCGTAGTGTAAAAAAAGGTAAGTGGGTGGTTGGTCCTCCTGAGCTGACTTGGGAATAACCTTCAGGTCAGAAGCGGGGTCTACGGTGTTTGCGTGACATTTTCCACTTGAATATTGTTTCAAGACAGCTATTGCAAAATGGAAGCAAGAACATGGAGGAGTTGATATTAGGGATAGAGTTGAACTTTCTAGAGTCCAACATGCTCCTTTTTACCTTGGGATATTAAGACTTTGCCCCCCCCCCTCCTAGATGAACTCGGAGAAGATCATGAGTGATGCACTTGAATTCATGAAATTTTTGTGAACTTCCGTTTTATCGAACGTTCTGTATCGATCCATTTTTGTCGATGCAGAGAAAGTAAAACGATAAGAAGTTCTTTGGTAGACGATCAATAAATCGATTTTCCAGGTAATGAGTGCGAGCAGTGCAAAAGCGTTCGCCATTGTACCATTAACTGTTCATTCGAAAACCTTGCCACCAATTGTCAACGCTGAACAGGGAACAAGCAGAGGTGGGAGATTCAGTGTTTTTCTTAATAGATATAAGTAACAAAGAAAACGACAGTAATCTTTGAAAATCGTCTTTCTGGTTGAAGTACATCACTTATATTCATTCTGCCAGCAGCCAAACGTCAACCCTAATCGCCACTTTTTCAGGAGATCGGGCCTCCTCGGCTGGCACGGTGGAGGGCAGAATGGGTCCAGTTCGCGTAATGAGTCAAGGCCAAGTGGTGAATCTTGTTCAGGTATGTTGATGATCTCATCTCCATGTATTCTTTTCATCTTACTGTACTCTTCCTCTTACAACCAGTCTATGACTCCTTGTTTATTGAAGGAGATGAGGTAAAGCTGGCGTGAGGATGTGGGTGGGAGAAGAGGGAATGGTTTTTTAAGCTTACAAACTCTGAAGGAGAGATGATGAGTGGCACTACGACGGAGCTAGAGGGATTTTTCGCCCATAATGGGCAAATCGCCCCTTACCCTACAATTTGTCACTTCACACTAAAGAAACTCATCTCTGACCGGGACCTACTGCATACGATACGATGTGGCCCTGATCGTGTACACGAAGTTAGTCGGAGCAGTCTGCCCTTCTCGTTGGTGTGCCCTCCTCTTGCCGTCTCGAAAAGAAGGAACCATCCACTGAAAGGGTACACTGTTTGCCTCTGATTCCGCTTCAGAGACCAGTAATGTAGTTTGGTCGTCAAGAGTTGGGTCAGATAAAAACCAGAAGGAGAACTTAACATTCTCCGTCTGGAAGCTCCGGAATAAACTCTCAAAGACCAAAAATGCACGAACGCAAATGGCTTATCAAGTCTGCAATCGTCCAAACAGTTTGATGAGAATCAATCGTTCGAAAGCATGCTTAGAAGTATTGTCCGCAGCCCATGAATATCCTTCGAAAATTCGCAACAAATTGAATAAGAAGCAATCTAGTGCCAGTCATTAATTCACTGATTTCAGGTGCGTACCCGTGCGATGAGCACGACAGGAGTTCGTGCGGCGACACTTCGCAAGACCTCTGATCGACCTCCAAGTCAACCAACACCGATCGAAACTGCCCCAACTCCCGCCAACACTGACGTCTGATCTCGGCAGCGGCCATCCTTACAGAATTTTCTCATCCAGAATGACCCTTGCCGTTTATCCTCGAACACACTCCACAACGATTTCTACAAGCTTTCCAGTGCGATCTCATGACTTCTCTGATGCTTTACTACTATAACTATTCAGGGTTACAGAGGCACATATTAGAGCCCAACATGGCGATGAAGTTGATGATGTCCGATAGAGACTGATATGACAAAAACAGAAGTGTTATTAAAATCCGAGAATCTCTTCTATCTTTACGGGTCAATGAAATTTCCCTACTTTGGCAATATTATTAAAAATATTTAATTGATTTCTATGTATATAATTGACAATTTGCTGAAGTTTCATCATATTTAGTTTTTTATTTGTACAATTCTATAGGAGTTCCTATGCTAGAAGTGCACCATTGACGCGGTTTGTGTGGTTTTCGGTTGTGCCTCTGATAATATCTATGATTATGGTTTACGTGATGATAAACGCTGTGACTTGATAGTTACTGCTTCGTTCTGGTGAGAGCTGACGACCTCATCTATACTCTCTTTCAAAAAACGAGAAGAGCGTCGGGTGCAGACCATACACCACAAGTGACGACGGCCTCACAAAATGTAAATGTTTTCTGCCAATGAAATGATTAGCCTGTTGCAGTTGTATTCTATCAGTTGTCACTAATTACAACTATCATTTACCAAAATCAGCTATCACTATGAACTCTAACCAGATTTACTTGGAGGCCGTCGTCACTTGTGGTGTATGGTCTGCACCCGACACTTTCTCGTTTTTTTAGA